GAGTGGTGTTTATCGGCCCAGTTGTGAAGGATTTTGTTTTCTTCTGAAAGGGCTTCCCATCAGTGAATTCCCTGTGTGGGGTTCTTGGCTGTGTAAGCTCAGACACTAGGTGGGTCAGTGCCCCAGAGTAGACGGGGTTCGGGGTGCTGACTCACACGAGCCCAGCTCACAAGTTCAAAGCGTAAAGTCAGCTGCAGGGTGAGAAATGTGACTTCCCCAGGACCAGATTTTCTACTCACTGGCCTGGGCTGTTCGCAGGCAGGCACCACCTTTTAAATTAGTAGATTGTATTCATCACCACTTCTATGTCTGCAGAACGAGTGAAAAGATAGTTCCCAGTGTCCCCCGTTTCAGTGTCTGGCCCAAGTACCTCATCCTTGGTGCCATTGCTGAGCTGACAGTGATGCTGTGTTGGGGGTTCAGCCTGCTGTTGGATGGCACTCCCCAGCTCTCACCTCACGCCCTCTTTCTGTCCCAGGAGCCAGGGTCCATGTAGTTGTCTCCTGCTCCTCTCGTTGTGGCGTTTCTCAGACTCTTTTGTCTGGTTTCTAACATTTTGTGGTGGATCGAGTGAACTCCCATTGTTTTGAGCTGGTTTTGAGGAGGTTTTTACAGCTGTGTTACAGGATACACTCCTCTGCTGCTTTTCTCAGAAGACTTCCATAGCCTGTGTGTGTGCGCGCGCGCGTGTGAAATGTATATAGACAAAGGGTACCATGTTAACTCTTGTAAGTGTCCAATTCAGGGGCATAGACGCTCACTGTGTTGTACCATCAGAACACCGCCTCCATTTCCAACAGTTTTCCTTCAGCTCCAAGTAGAAACTCTGTTCCCCGGAAGTTGGGAGCCCTGGTGGTTAAGCACACCACAGCAGCTAGCCAGAAGGTCAGAGGTTCGAATCCACCAGTCACCTGTTGGCCTGCTGTGGAGTGAAAAGTTAAAAATAAAAGAGGCAGGAGGAGATAGCTTGAGAAGGCTGGTGGAGAGGGGAGAGTGCGAGGCCTGACTGTCCCCCTGAGGTGACAGCTCTCCAGCAGGAGGAGGCTTATTTGTGGAGGAGCTCAGATGTGGGGGCATTGCCTGGTGTAACCCATGGAAACACAGCAGAGTTGCCTGAAGTGCCGTGGAAGAATCCCTGTGTGGGCCAGAGCCCGTGGCAGCCCAGTTTGTCTGGTCCGTCAGTGAGGAGCTGCGCGGGGTAGGCATAGAGAGCCCAGGCGTGGTGTGGAGAGCTGGGAAAGGACAGGGCACCCAGGGACTTCAGGGGAATGCTAGCCCTGGGCCAGGCCCTGGCCTTCCTGGGGCTTCCAGTTGGCCCAGCATAGCCATTGCTGGCCCTGTGACTCCAGGCCCAGAGAAGTTCAATGACCCTGCCCATCTGCACAGAGCAAGGAAGGAGTCGCAGGTTGAGTTCTCTACAGAAACAAAACCCGTGAAGCGCGTAGATGTGTGTGTACATGTGTAGCCTTAACTGTACCTTTGACTCACGCAAGTGGGAGAAAGACAGGCGGTCTGCTTCCATACAGACCGGTGACTTCGGAAACTCTACGGAGCAGTTCGTTCTGCCGGACGGGGTCGCTGTGAGTCCGGATCCACTCGAAGACGGCTGTGGGAGCAGTCTCCTTTGTGACCTGCCCCAATCGTAGCCCTCACCCTAGACGTTGCCACACTCTGGTGTGCTTCCTTCTAGAAAATACACTGGCAGGCGGGAGCGGATGTGAGCACTCTGCATTTTTAGTGTGGTGTTGGCAGCGTGGTCTAGTGTTTGGCTGTTAACTGAAAAGTCCGAGGTTTGAACCCTCCAGTCTCCCTGTGGGAGAAAGAGGAGGCAGCCTGTTCCTGTGCCTTCAAAACCCTGTGGGCTGGTTCTATTCGGTCCGAGAGGCTTGCTGTGAGTGTGAATGGATTGGACAGTAGTGTTTGGGTGTTAAGGGTTTTTTTCCTGCCCAAACACACATCTGGTGGTGTCACTCCTGCTGAAAACTTTCAGAACCCTCCCACCAGCTCCGCCCCTCTAGCCGGTGCTCAGTCAGCCACCACTACAGAGACCACCCTGTCCCTCCTGACTTCCCCAGAGAGGGAATTCCACCTGTGTGTCTAGTCTGGTAGCCACCTCCAGGGTGAACCCTAGGGATGGCCGATAACCAGCTCCAGTCACAGAAGGCATGGGCAGAAGGACAGGCCAACCAGGAGTCTCTGTTTGAAGCCTCAGCTGACTCTCCTCCCCTCCCCAGGCCTGCAGGCTGGGCTACCTGGCCTTCCTCTAATTTACAAAGCTTTCTTCTGGCCAGATTCCAGAGTATGGCCTGCCCCAGCCCACTGCCCTCGGGCTGCCTTTGATGCACACACCCGGTGGCTTTGTCTGCGGGTCAGAGCAGACCAGAGCCCCATCAGGCTTTCAGGGGTTGGTTTTTCAGGAGAAGATCTCCCTCCAGGCCTTTCTACTGAGGGCCTCGGACTTTTCAGTTAACACATGAGGGGGTCACCATTTGTGCCACTGGAGGGGCTGGAAGGCAAGCATATCTGGTGAGCTGTTCAAATCCCAGGTCAACGTGGTCTCCCCAAGGAACCCCGGAAGAATTACTCAGAGGCTGTTCTGGTCTTGGAATGAATAGTCACTCCACTAAAGTGACTAACGAAAAGCCACAGGTCTTCCTTAATGACACACCTTACTCTGTTTATAAATCTAGCATATCTCTGCAGTGGCTTTTCAGGGCACTCTGCTTAATGTTTGGCCTTATGGCCAAAGTTGTTATTAACTCCATTTATTTATTTATTTTTGAATAAGAAGGTTCATCAATGGCAAACTTTTAATTCACATATCCATATAGATTCCACTCAATCCTCACATATCTGACCTTTGTTTGTTTAAAATTTCTGTTTCTGCCACATCTTGAATTCATCTTTAACATAATAAACACAGGGGGAAATCTTTCTAGCACCTATTAAATAGCCCTGTTTGCACATTCCTAAAACCTGTCTCCACATTTCCTTCTGTATTCTTGTAACCATAGACTTAACTACAGAACAAGCAGGTCTAATAATTCTAAGAGGTCTTGTTTGATTAAATGTTAAATAAATTAACAGAATATAAAGAAATATAGGTAGAGAAAACAACCAAACTCAATTCATAAAAGCCAGATAGGAAAGGATGGAATTGCCCTTGTGGGTTTCTGGGACTGCATTCCTTATCAGAGAAGAAAATTTCATCTTTTTCCATGAAGCCCCTGGTGATTAACTCCTTTTAAACAAGCGGTTCTCACTCTGTGGGTCGCGACCCCTTTGGGGTTGGAACGACTCTTTCACAGGGGTCACCCGATTCATAACAGTAGCGGAATTAGTTATAAAGTAGCAACAAATATAATTTTATGGTTGGGGGTGGTCACCACAATATGAGGAACTGTATTAAAGGGTCTCGGCATTAGGAAGGTTGAGAACCACTGTTTTAAACCTAAACCGTGTTGAATTTTCATACATTTAGTTTCACTGTTAACTTCTTTAGTTATCTGGTTGACAGGCAAATCTTTTTCCAGGACTTAAGTAGTTCTTGTGAACCTAGTGCAAATCTTTAAGTTCTAATCAGTGCTCTACTATGATTTAGAAACCAAATAGAACTTCACTTTACAATCACAAGTCTAAATCAACTATACATTTAAAATTAGAATCACAAATTTTAAAAATGTTAGCGACTCTTAATACATCAGGTCCTTTTAAACATTCTACATTCCTTAGTGAGAAGATGCATCTTTTCCCTGGGGACCTTCAGAATTCAATCTAGACAGGCTGAGGCCCATCCTTTCCAACCAGGCCCCATGATGAGGAGCATGGGGACCGCGTAGCCCCCGTTCCTGGGCAAAGTCTGTCTGCCACTCCCTCCTCCCTTCCCATGGGAGTTTGCAGCCCGCAGGCTGCCAGCTGACTGCCACCATTGCATTCCGGTGACTCTTAGAGACTTCAGTGCCATCTCATGAAATTCTCCAGCTGCCAAGGCTTTGTCTGACTCTTCCATTTCTTAGCCTAAAATGAAAGCCCCTCCTCACCCAGGGCCTGTCTCTGGAGTCACCAGGGTGTGCAGGTTGGAACCCATTGCTCCAAGCTTACACACAATCAGGGTGGTCCCATGTGTGTGTATGCCTGTCATTGTCCACTCTGACTCCCAGAGACCCTATAGGACAGAGTTGGTCGCCCCACAGGGGTTTCATCCCGATCTATGGAACAAGTAAAGCAAAGAGTGCTTTTGTGTAGGAGGCTGGCTTGTGGAGTGGGGTGCCTTTGGGCACTTAATTGGGTAGTTGGACTTGCTGACCCATGCCAGTGGAGCTGGGTGCCTTTGGGCTGAGGCTTGCTGAAGGGAGGTGCCTCTGGGCACTTAAGTCAGGGAGCTGGGTTAGCTGACCCACAGAGATTAAGCTGAATGCCTGTGGCTCATAGCAGAGTGGTATGCCCTTTGGGCATTTAGTAGCATGCTGGACAGAATTTTGTAACGTGTCCTGATAAACAACTCAACCCTGAGCATATCTTGCTGGCATGCTGCTTGTTAACTTGTTAATTTTTTAATCATGGATTTTGTTTGTGAGTTCTGTATAGCCATTGCAATGGCGGTTAGAACCCAGAGAGGTCAAGTAGAGAACACCAGGGAAGGCTACAGCTTTACGGGGAATGCTGACAATGGACCAGTATGCAACCTGGTGATATACAGAGAAAGAACTGACGTTGTCACGCGCTTCATTTTACTTGGATCTGCAGTGCCCGGGGGAATAATGGCTGAGAGATCAAACGAGGCATTGTATCATGCATACCTACTGCACGAGACTCAACCGTGTTCAAAGAGCAAAGATGTCACTTTGGAGATGATGGGGTCCAGGAAATGGGCCCCTGGGGCCCGCCCGGCAGGCTCAGGGTCCCATTCCATCAGGGTCTCATTCATCTATGGTGATCCTGATCAGACCACTCAGTGGTGGTAGCTAGGCACTAGCTAGTTCTTCTCAGGGTCTAAGGGTAGTTGAGGTCCTGGCTTCCTGCAGGCACCCACAGTTTACCTGTTTCTTCCCTGAGCTTTTGAGTTCTTCTTTCTCCTCTGGCCCTGATGAGTAGCGAGACCGGCAGTTGTATCCTAGATGGCCACTCTTGTGAGACCCTGGACACGCTTCACTTCCCTTGAGACTATGATCCTAAGCCTTTAAACCTAGAAAATCAGCCTCAGAAGGTTTTCTGGTGATGTCTGGGGAACATCTGTGGAAGTGTTTACAACGAAGCCTATACATATCTGTATATACACAAACGTGTAGCCACTTTTACCCGTTCTCACATTCGCATTCGAGACCTTCCCATAGAACCTGCAGGTGCATCTGGCCTTGTTCAGTCAGCGCAGTTTCTAAGGTCCCAGGTTGTAGTAGTATGTGTCAGAACTGCATTCCATTGTATGTGTACAGACTATTCCATTGTGCGCGCAGGGCTCCTTTTGCTCAGTTTGCTTTGGCTGCTGTGGCTGTGCCGCTTGGGAAGCCCGTGCAGCTTCAGCACATGCCCACCCTTCCCTGCCCTGCTTTGCAGTATCCCTGTGCACACGCTGTTTGACAGCTGCCCAGACGGCAGCGGCATCCGAGCCATAGCTATCACCCACGACGCCAAGTATCTGGCCACCATCTCAGACGGCAGTGTCCAGGTAATAATGGGCCCCGGGCCCTTGACCGGCAGGCCGATAATCTTGTCTGGGTATCCCTGTGTGCAGCAGCTCCATCCACACAGGCTGCATGGCACCTACCATGTTCTCGGGGTGCAGGGTGGGGTGCTCATGGGACTTTGCCTGTCGGTGAGCTGAAGCTAGCAGTCAAGGCGGGAGGTGCCTCAGCGGCCTTCAGGGGCAGCTTGTTGCCCTCTGTGTGCCACCACTTACAGAAAATTTGCATCTGGAAGTGGACCTTGGCCGTGGAGACACCTGCATGCATGCTGGAACTTAACAAGGACTACGGTGTCCAGGTGAGTGTCCACTGAGACCAGGCCAGAGCCTGCTGGCTCTTTCAGTGGGTTGTTGTTGGGGAGGGGGAGGGGGCGCATCCGTGGTGCTTTTCCTAGGCATTTTCACATTCCGGATCTCTCCTCCGAGCCCTCCTTATGCATAAGATCCTGCCGTGTTTCATACCCACGTCGTCCCACACAAGCCAAGCAAGTGTGCTAGGAAGGAGACAGTCCTCACTGAGAATAGGAGGGACTTCGAAAGGGTCATAGAAAATGGAATGACGAGCTAATGGGATTTTTCCACCACCTTTTCAAAGTACCCTTGTATCTGTGAAATCATGAACTCATTTGTCTGGAAATCCCCTAGCTAGCCGGTCTTTGTGAGTCTAGAGGATGCTCTTCACGGCCTCCCACCTCATCAGTAGCCCGAGTTATGTAGGGGTGTTGTTATGGTCCTCAGTTTGCTTGAGGTGACTGGATATTGATGTCAACTTGGTTTCCCAGGTCCCCATGCTTACTGTTCCCCTTCATCCCCTCCATGCAGCACACATTGTTGAGTGCCTACTATGTGCCCGGCACTCTAAGTACACAACCTGGCTCCCCAGGGACAAGAACTCAATAAGGCACATACCGTTATGTCTGCCTTTTCTCCTTCTGCAACCCCCTCCCGGCTCCCTGTTACCTCATTACCTACAGCTTTATTCTGCTGCGGCCATCAGGAGCCACACGAGGCATTCCAAATCCATTAACATGAGAGACACAGACAGGTCAGTTCCTCCGCTCCAGCCACATTTCAAGTGCTCAGTAGCCACAGATGGCTGATGACCACCATACTCCACAGCACTCTGCGAGAGCCTTTCCAGTGCCTGCCGAGACCCAAGCACCCTGACCCTGGTGCACCCCCTAAGTGCAGCTGGAGGAAAGGACTCCCAACCGAGCCAGTTCACCTGTCTTGCAATTCAGTCATCCATTTCAAACGAGCTCTTGGCACAGCCCGGCCATTCTGGGTGGCTCACTTTTCCTTTCCAGAGACAGCAGACTGCTCCTTGCTCCTCCCTCTTGCTCTCAGCCTGTGACTTCCGTCCCACTGAGCAAGTGAGAGCAGGGGATACGGATGCCCGCCTACCTCTCTTCCCAAGCCCCATCCTACATCAGCCTCACCTGCCTCTCCTCTCCAGGTGCAATGAAGGGCTGGGCTCTAATGACGACTGAACTGCATTCCCTCAAGGTCAGCGGTTCTCAACATGTGGGTCGAGACCCCTTTGGGGCTCAAACGACCCTTTCACAGGGGTCGCCCAATTCATCACAGTAGCAAAATGACAGTGATGAGGTAGCCACGAAAATAATGTTATGGTTGGGGGGTCACCACCACACAAGGGATTGTATGAAAGGGTGGCGGCATCAGGAAGGTCCTCTCCTGCGCCCACCGACCCGCATGCCCGCCTCTGCTGGACCGGGCGTCCCTCTGGTCAGCATGCACATGGGCGCCCAAGAGCTCCCTGTGGCCACAGCTCCTTGCGCTTCTGGTGTCACGCTTCTGGTGTCACATCTCGGGTGGCTTTCGTGACTCCTCCTTCTAGTGACTATTCTTTTTTTTGAAAGAAATGTTGGATTTTCTTCTATTTTCAGTGTGTAATAAGACATGTGCAAAATGTGCCCATTTTGAAGATGAAAAGCGAATGTACCTGGGTACTTAACACCTGGACCAAGAAATAGAGCGTCACCCACATCCTAGATGCTCTTTCTCCCGCCCTCCCAGTTCCTCCTGACAGCCAACCACTACCCCACACGCGGGGCTAATCCTCCCCTTGCATCTCTGTCTGCTTCTCCTCAGTGATGTGTGCGGCCCTCGGTACCGTCTGACTTCGTTGTCCCTAGTGCTTACCTTTGTAAATCTGGGTTCCTAGTATTTGTTCTGCATTGTTTCTTCTTAGATTCATCTGCATGGATTCCTGAGCAGCACCTCATTAACTTTCCCTGTGGTATAACTTAATTGTTCTGAGTCGAACACAGCTTACTTATCCAGCCTACTACTGGTGGTCAGAAAGGTGGTCCAGTGGGGAAACCCTCAGCTCCTTCAACTCCTCACCCAAGGGGTGGTGGTTTGGACCCACCAGCTGCTCCACGGGGGAAAGACGTGGCCGTCTGCTTCCGTAAACCCCGTGGGATGGGCGGTTCTACTCAGTCCTCAGAATCAACTAAAAGGCATCCGTTTAAAAACAAAAGGAAAAGTTTTTGTTTTTTTTCTTGATGGATACTGTGCTTCTTTTCACCTGGCTTCTACCAAGTGAGCCCCCGCCCCTGTGACTTCTCCGAAAGTCTGCCTGCCCTGCTTACCGGGCCCCCCAAAGCCAGTGCACTCTGATTCTCAGCCATTTTCCCACATATGTCTGCATGCCCATGTGCATATGGTTGGTTTTTTTAAAATTCTGTGCTCTGGGGTTTCTTGACGTGGGATGTGGTTGCCTTCCTTACTTCGAGGCAATTCTCAGGGCTACTGGTTCCCCCAGGTATTGATGAAAGCACCCTCCGGGCATGTGGTGGTGCTGATACCAGGCACAGACGCTGGCACTGGTGCTCTGCAGTCCTGCGGTGGGGCAGCAATAAATAGGCCAGGCGTCGAATGTGCAAGGGGGGGAGCAGCAGCTAGAAGGGGGCCCAAAGGAGCTTTTCTCCAGTGACTCCCTCCCTGCTGCTCCCTGTACCTTTCACACAGGCTACCACCCACTTCCCACATGCCCACCATTTCCAGACACACGCACTCGTCTCCCCAGGGACTGCTCCCTCCTGGTGCTCGTTCAGTTTCTACCTTTCCTGTTTCCCTTGCTCCCATCCTCCGCTGCAGAGTTGCATTTTGGGAAGGGTGCCAGCAGCCCATGCCAGTACAGCATCTTGGCAGGAACCAGACTCCTCTCCCGATATTTTGTGTTCAATCCAAGAGACCCCTGTGGCCCTGCCATCTTTAGGAATGCACACACAGTAGTCTTTGTCCCAAAGGACCAAGACTAAGGGCTATTGCTCTTAGGGAATTCCAGTTTACAGACGCTGGATAGGGAAAACTAAACAGGGAATAACCCTGGGGCTTTTACCTTTAACAACCAGCATTCAAATTATATTCCTATTGCTTACCCGATGCCATGTCTTTTTTGTTACATTCCTACTCAGTAGATGACTCCCATCACACATGTGCTGCAATCTGAATATTCGACCGAGCCAGAGAGAACGCCGATGATGTAATACTTTTGCGTCCTTTGTATTCCAGAGCTACCTTACTTTTAATCCAACGAACAATAAAGAGTTGGTGAGCAACAGCAAAACACAGGCCGTGTATTATTTCTGGGTAAGTCCCAGCATCCCTTTGCGTGTTGAGCGTAGGTACAAGTATTTGCTCCTCCATTGAGTAAAGATGTTTTGCTAATGTAACCATGCAGAGTAAAACCTGCAGGAGCCAGCACCTGGGTAAGGCAGAAACCTGTCAGAGAAGGAAAATTCAGGTATTTTCCAGTTAGTAGAGAGCCGAGCCCTGATGGTATGGTGGTTCCACATTGGTCTGTTACAATGTGAAGTCACCAGTCACCCCCCAGAGAAAGATGAGGCTCTCTGCTCTCGTAAAGATTTGCAGTCTTGGAAATCCACTGGGGCAGTTGTACCCTGCCCTTTAGGATTGCCACGAGTCAGAATTGACTTGATGGCAATGAATTTGGTTGTGTTTGTTTGTTTGTTTGTTTATTTGTTTAGAGAGCATTAGACCGCACCCTGTCAAATGCAGAAAACTTTAGAGACCTGGAAAAACCCAGCTGGCTCTTTTGAGTTCTGACTCTCACGGGTTTCACTGCAACAGTGTGCGACTTAGGAAGCCAGGAGTGGATATGGAGACATTCTTAACTTCACCATTATTATCGTCTCAGTGGAAGTTAGCATATTAAGTTGAAGTAGACGATCTCAATAAAAAATTTACAGCGTTTAAGGAAGGGGGCAAATATCTATCTGGACGCACTTGACAGGTTTAAAATGTAGGGCTTGGGGGGGTCTCGGGCTTTGTTCTCTTTTAGAAAGACATGAGCAACCCAACCAGTCAGGAGCAGGGACAGCAAGGTCAGGAGACTCTGGAAAGACAGACACTGACGCTGTGGGGTCCAGGGACATTTATCCCTCCAGGCGCTCAGGCTCGTAGAGCCCTACGCAGAAGCATGGTTACCGTTTAAGGTTGCTGTCACCTGTGGCATTTTTAGAGAGTGTGCTCTTCTTGGACGGGGATGTTCCCAAGGCCGCGGGCCCTCCTGTAGAAACTGCCGGGCTCCGGCCCGGTTCCACGCCCTTAGCTTTGATCGTGTCGCTGCTGTGGCTCCTCTTTGGGAGATCGAGTCCCTTTGGAGCGGTAATGGCGTTCTCTCCTCTTCCAGCACGAGGAGAAGAATGTACTCGCGCACAGTGCCCCGCTCCTAACGGAAAAAGTGAGTTCATCAGCTGCACTTTCCTACTTCAGATTCCGTAGAGATGAGAGACTTGTGTGTAAGCTAAGGTGACCACACGTCCCGCTTTTTAACAATCTTTCCTGCATCCCGTGGCGTTTTTAAAAAGTCCCGATTTTTGGAAAGAATGCACGACAAGCTAGGGTATACGGTTTTCGGCTGCCATGTGGCTATTTCGCCAGGATATGAGTTTTATCAGTGGTGTCCCGCTTTTGTCCTGCTTTACCAATGTTAAAATCTGGTCACCTTAGTGTAAGCTCAGTTGGACGGCCTGGTGGCACCATTGTTAAAGCCTCAGGCTGCTCCCACCACCAAACAACTACACAATGCATGACCAAACAGTGCGCAATTACCCAACACGCAACCACAGAGCACACTACACAAGGCAAAACTATCCAGTGCACAACTACAGAACACACAACTACACAACACAGCCACACAGTACATAACTACACAACAGAAAACTACACTACATAACTACACAGCACATAACCACACAGTGCACAACTACACAATGCACAACACCACACAGTACACAGCTGCACAACACACAACTACACAATGCACCATTATGCACGCACCCCACAACACGCACAACACCACGTGCAACTACATGACGCATGACTACAAAAGGCACAACAGGGTCAGTAGTTCTACCCCACCAGCCAGTCCTTGGGAGAAAGCTGAGGCTGTGTGCTCCCATTAAGATTTACAGCCTCAGAAAGCGGAGGGAGCAGGTTTTCCCTGCCCTGCAAGGCTAGGTTTCGAATCAACTCTCCGGCTGTGAGTTTTTTGTCCTGAGTGTCTTTTCTCCTGTATTCCAGTAAAATGTTGAGATGATAACTGTGCACCTTCTGCGTGCTACCACCAGTAACTCATCGCTCTCTTGAAATGCAGACATTCAACAAGCTTGTGGGAAAGTTCAGCCAGTCCGTCTTCCACCTGAATCTCACCCAGATCCTCTCAGCCACTATGGAGGGCAAGCTAGTTGTCTGGGACATCCACCGGCCCCCCCCATCTGCCACCACCTTCCTGGGCTTTCCCTACATCAAACCCTGTAAACTGGTTCACCTGCAGAAGGAAGGCATCACTGTGCTCACCACCGTGGACAGGTAATCAGCTTAATTAACAAGTCGCTGTTGTGGAGCAGAAAAGGGCCCTTGGCCGTGTGCAGAGACTAGGAACGCTGGTTTTGCTCCTAGGAGGAGCAGGAGTCCTGGTGGTGAGGTTAAAGCTCTCTGTGGCAAACAAGGAAGCCGGCCGGTACAGCCCACCAGCTGTTGGTCAGGAGAAAGATGGGATGTCCCTGCTTCCCTAAACACTTACCACCTTGTGAACCCTCTGGGGCACTTCTACTCTGCCCCATGGGCCCATCATGAGTCACATTTGGCTTGATGGCGGCCACGGCCTCGGGTTTGAAGGAGAAGCACTGGGAAGGAGGACGAAGATGGAGATAGAGACGCCGTTTGTGGTCCCGTTGATACTGGTTGGGTTTTAAAACAAACCTTGGGCCCGTGTTACTTTGTGTAGAAATTGCTGTGTTAGTAACTGACGTCTCTCTCCCCACACCGCTCCCCTCGCACTAATAGCTGTACTTCCTTTGTACCCTTGTATTCTAAGTTGGAAACATAACTTGAATTGCTATATTGCCCCCTGCCCCCCCCATTACAAAATAAAGTTTACCATTTATGAAAAGGTCAGAGTATAACCGCTCATAACCCAATTGTGGTGACCTCAGTTCCAGTTCGTGAGGCCTCCCCACAGTGTGTGTCCTGCAGGTTTCCAGCAGCCAATCCCCAGGCCTGCCTTCGGAGACACCCCTGGGTAGACTTCAGCCTCCAAGCCCTTGCTTGACCACGGAGCATACATGAACTGCTTGTTCCTGCCAGGCACTCCACTGAGCCCCTCACCACCCAGAGACTTGCCACCTCCAGCTTGCCACCGATGGCACAGGCACGGCAATGCTCTCCATCTCAGGGGTTCCACGGGGGTAGGGAGGTGGTGATTGGACACAGCACTTCGCCACCTACTTGAGTGTTGAGAGGTTCTTCAACGTGGTGGGGACTTGTCCACATGGCCAGCGTCACTGGGCTCACTTCCCATTTTCCGAACGCAGTGGTGTGGATTTGCAAAGAGAAATGCAGATTCTCACCCCATTCTGAGATGCAGGAGGACAGAAGCAGAATAACAATTAGCTAAAAGCCGCTGCCGTGGAGTTGATTCTAACTCACAGTGACCCTAGATGACAGAGTAGAACTGCCCCAGAGGGTTTCTGAGACTGTAACTTTTTACAGGAGTGAAAAGCCTCATCTCTGCCCCACGGGCAGCTGGTAGTTTCAAACGGCTGACCATGTGGTTAGTAGCCCATCGCGTAACCTTCCAGGCCACCGGGGCTAAATACTGGGAAGCCCAGATGATACACACATTGTGCTGCTACCCACAAGGTCAGCAGCTCAATCCCACTAGCTTCTCTTAGGTAGAAAGATGAGTTTATCACTCTTGTAAAGCTTTACAGCCTCAGAAACCCTAGGGATTAAGTCAAAATCAACTTTATGGCAGTGGGTTTTTAAAATACTCTCAACCTGCACTGCCACTTCTCTCCAGTAGAGGCAGTGTAAGATGTGTTCTAGAATTGCTCTGTTCACTTGCCTTGTTTAATCAGGAGACGGTGTGTTTAATCAAGCTACAGTTATATGAAAGAACTCATCCCCGTCCTCCTCCTCGGGAAAAGAATCATGTCAGATTCTTAAAAAACGGGCCCATTTAGGAGGGACCCGAGCCCTGGAGACAAAGGTGCCTGTGCCCTGCTGGCTACAGTTTCACAGCCCTTCCAGCACCACTGTTCAAGCCTCGGCCTGGTGAGCAAGAGCCATAGTGAGCCTGGTCTCAGGTCATCTGGGTTCCCTGCAGGGCAGCCAGGTAGACGTCTGTCCCTTACAATGTTTGGGACATACTCATACCACAAAGGAGCCATGGTGGCACAGTGGTTAAAGAGCCTGTCTGCAACCGGAAAGGTCGGTGGGTTGAATCCACCAGTTATGCTGCCAGAGAAAGGTGTGGCTGTCTGCTGTTGTAAGGATATCACCACCATCATCACCAGCCACTGCCTTTGGGTCAATTTGGACTCAGAACATCCTGGAGGACAGAGGAGAACGGCTCCCTAGGGTCCGAGACTGTACATCTTTACAGGAGCAGACAGCCTCATCTTTCTTCCGCGGAGCAGCTGGTGGGTTTGAACCGCTGACAAGTGTTAACCTACTTCACCACCAGGACTCTTTCTGTAAGGGTTATGCCCTGGGAAACTCAACAAGCAGTTCTACTCTATCCCAGCTGGAATCACCGATCCAGCAGCTGCGGATTGGGGTTTCAATGACAAGATTACTTGGTGTTTACCTGAAATTCAGTGTTTTCATTCCCAGAAGCTGGCAACTCCAGGCTTTGAGCAAAGGTCTCTGTGAGCCTGAGACGGTCCATGTCAAAAGCTTGGGGAGCGGTCCGCCAGCTGGCGCAGGGCTGGCATTGTGGCAGCATCCCCTCCATGGGGGTTTCCACTTCTGCTGGTGAACAGCCCTCTGCTTTTCTCCATTTCAGCTACATTGTCATCGGTGACATCAAGGGGAACATTAAGTTCTACGACCGTTCCCTGTCCATTGCCAACTGGTACAGCCACTTAAAACTGAGCGCCATACGGACACTGTCCTTCTCCAAGACCCCTGCCCCTACTTCTGCTGAAAAATCCAGCTACCCCCAAGATTCCACCTTAAAAGGTGACCTTTTCATCATGAGGTGAGTTGCTAGCAAGTCTTGTGTTGGGGTGATTGGGTGATTGCTGATGCCACTTTTTAATTGTGGGCAGGAACATGCCTGCCTTGTTCCTGTGCTCCAGGGCAGAGCCTGATCTGGTCCTCCCACCCCACCCCCACCCAGCTTTCCCATGGGCTGACCTTTTCCAGGGGTCATTTCGACAAGTTGTTGTTGTTAGGTGCCATCAAATTGGTTCCGACCCACATCGACCCTCTGCACAACAGAGTGAAACATTACCCAGTCCTTTGCCATCCTCATCATTTCCCCCTGCTAGAGCCCATTGTTGTAGCTATTGTGTCAGTCCATCTGATCGAGCACCAAGCATGATGTCCTTCTCCATGGAATGGTCTCTCATGACCACATGTCCAAAGTATGTGAGAGAAAGGCTCATTCTCCTTGCGTCTAAGGAGCACTCTGGCCACACTTCTTCCAAGACAGAGTGGTTGGTTTTTTGGCAGTCCACGATACTGTCAGTGTTCTTCTCCGGCGCCACAGTTCAAAAGTATCACTTCTTCTCCAGTCTTCCTTACTCAGTGACCAACTTTCACTTGTATATGAGGGATTTGAGAGCCCCATGGCTTGTGTCAGGCTCACCTTAGCCCTCAAAGCAACATGCTCTAAAGAGGTCTTGTGCAGCAGATATACCTAAAGCAACACTTTTTTATCTCCTGATTGCTGCTTCCGTGCGCATTGATGGTGGATCCAAGCAAGACACCATTCTCGAGAACTTCTACTTATTCTCCATTTAGCTTGTGAACTATTGGTCCTGTTATGAGAATATTGGTTTTCTTTCTATTGACTTGTAATCCAAACGGAAAGCTGCAATCCTCAATCCTCATCAGCAAGTACTTCAAGTCCTCCTCACTTTCAGCAAGTAAGGTTGTGTCATCTGCATATCAAAGGTTGTTAATAAGCCCTCCTCCAATCCTAATGCCACATTCTTCTTCATATACTCCAATTTCTCTGATGACTTGCTCAGCATATAGGTAGTAGTTACATAATCTGGTGTCAATTTGAAACTATTAAGAGCGAAGGGGTGGAGTTTAGCCTATCAATCAGGTCACAGCTTAACCTCCTGTGGAGGCATGAAGGAGATAAATAGCTCACTAGAGGCCAGACACCCTCTCTCTCTGCTTTGTCTCTATGCGAGACATTCCTGTTGACAAGCCACATAGAGCCAGAGGCCTGGAGCTGGAGGAGCCACATGGAGACCTCTGCCAGCGCTGAGATGCTTCCACTGCCACTGGATCCACAATACTTTCCACCCACTGGCCTGTGATCTTCCTGCATTCAGCATCATTGCATGTGTTGTGTGAGTCTGAAGAGGACTTTATAGATTGATATCGGACATATAGGCTAATATATGATCTGGACTGGGTTGGGATGTTTTCTTAATACATAATCACTCTTTGATGTAAAGTTCTCTATTACACACATAAGAGTGTCTCTGGATTTGTTTCTCTAGTCAACTCAGACTAACATACAGGTTGAGTAAGTCTGGTGAGGATACAACCCTGACACACACCTTTCCTGATTTCAAACTATGCACTCTTCCCTCTTCTGTTTGCACAACTGCCTCTTGATCTATGTTCAAGATCCACATGAGCACAATGAAATGTTCTGGAATTCCCATTCTTCTCAAGGCTAATCACAGTTAGTTATAAGCTACACAATAGAATGCGTTTGCATAGTCAATGAAACACAAGAAAACATCTTCCTGGTATTGTCTGCTTTGTGCCAAGATCCATCTGACATCAGCAGCGATATCCCTTGTGTCACATCCTCTTCTGAATCCAGCCTGAACCTCTGGCAGCTCCCTGTCAGTGCACTGCTGAAACTGTGGCTGAATGATCTCCCACTAATTTTACTTGCATGTGAGAGTAATGATAGCGTTCTATAATGTAAGCTTTCTGCTCGGTCTCCTTTCTTTGGATACAAATATGGATCTCTTCCAGTCCGTTGGCCCAGTACCTGCCTTCCCAAGGTCCTGGCGTGGACGAGTGAGTGCTTCTGGTGCTCCACCGGCTTGTTGAAACACTTCAGTTGGTGTTTCCGTCAATTCCTAGAGCCTTGCTTTCGGCGGATACTTTCAGTGCAGCTTGTACTGCTTCCATCAGCACCGTCGGTTCTTGCTCAGATGCTGCCTCCTGAAATGGTGGGATGACAAGTGGTTCTTTTCGGCACAGTGACTGCGTATTCTTTCTATCTTCTTTTGATGCTTCCCACATCCATCAATAGGTTGTCTACAGTGTCTTTAAAGATTGTGAGGCTTGAATTTTGTCTTGAGTTCTTTGAGTTCAAGAAATGTTGAGCATGCGCTTTCCTTTTGGTTTTCTAGCGCTAGGTCTTAGCACATTTCACTAGAATGTTTTCCTCTGTCTTCTCGAGCTGCCCTTTGAAGTTTTCTGTTCAGCTCTCTGGCTTCGTCATTTCTCCCATTTGCCTGAGCTGCTATTACCAGAGCTACAGGTTGTTGTGTTCCCAAAATAAAGATTTACTTCTGGGGGGTACAGAATGGGGGTTTTGCATAGAGAAACTTTATTAAGAGTCTCCTGGGAGAGAGAGAGAGAGACCATCTACCAGTCTGCATGACTGGTTTTCTGGTGCTTCTCTCTGCCCACTCACATGAAACCAGGCTTTCAGATTTTCAAGGGGAAGAGACTAGAATTTTCCAGTCTCTTCAAGGGGAATATCCCAATTCTGCCAGGGATAGCAAGAGCTTCTGGGATATAGTCTAAGGTGACCAGATTTTAACATTGGTAAAGCGGGACACCGTTGATAAAGCTCATATCCTGGCGAAATAGCCACATGGCAGCCGAAAACCGTCTACCCTAGCTTGTCGTGCATTCTTTCAAAACATCTGGACTTTTTTAAAACGCTGCGGGACGTGGGAAAAATTGTTAAAAATTGGACTGTCCCACCAAAAGCGGGACGTCTGGTCACCTTAATATAGTCCCAAGATATTGCAGGGATTCTGTGCATGCTAAGTCCAAATCTCCGCCCTCGCTCCTATGCCTTACCGCACTGTAAGAGCAAGTTTCAGAGTCTCTGGACGTTCACGCTGATCTTTTCCTTCTTCCTTGTCTTTGTAATGACCTTTTGCTTTCTTCGTGAAGGTTGTTCTTGATGGCCTCCTATAGCTCATCAGGTCTTTGTCAGTGGTGTTCAATGCAGCAAATCTGTGTTTGAGATATTCTTGAAATTCAGGTGGGATGGATTCAAGGTTGTTTTTCTTGTTTTAATTTTCTTCAGCTTTGACCTGAATTTACACGTGAGCAATTGGTGGCCTGTTCCACAGGCAGCCACTGGTGTGGTTTAGCTCCATCATCCCACAGATGTAGTCAGTCTGATTTCTGAGTATTCCAACTGAAGAAGTCCATGTTCGGTGACTGTTTGTGTTGTTGAAAAAAGATGTTTGCTATGAGGAAGTCTTGCAAAATTTCACCATGTGGTCGCCGGCTTCGTTTCTATCACCAAGACACTATTTTCCAACTACCGTTCCTTCCTCTTTGTTTCTAGCTTTTGCATTTTAATTGCCTGTAATTATCAATGCATCTTGGTTGCATGCTTGATCGATTTCAGGCTGAAGATGTTGGTAGAATTCTTTGATTTCTTTAGCACGATCTCTCATGTTTGATGCATAAATTTGAGTAATGGTTATAGTCATTGAATTTCCGTGAAGGTGAATATATAGAATCCTATCACAGACAGCATTGTATTTCAAGATAGGTCCCGAAATGTTCTTTTTGACAACGAAAGCAATGCTGTTTCAAGTCAATTAGACATTATTGAAATGCCAGGACTCAAGAAGCCATGATGCTGTTTTAGAACGGTGGGGCTGGCAAAGACCACGGAAAGCATCGTGGACGGGCAGCATAATGAGCCAAATGTATCTTGGAAGAAGCACAGCCAACATGCTCCTTAGAAGCGAGGATGGCGAGACTTCATCCCACGTATTTGGGAGGGTGCCCACAGGTCATCAGGGAAGGGTCATCCCTGGAGCAGGCCATCATGCTTGGTGAAGGCAAGTGTCTGCGATAAAGAGGGAGACCCTCCATGATATGGGTGTGCACAGCGACTGTAACAGTGGGCTCAGACAGCACCACGCTGCTCATGAGGATGGCACAGGACCAGGGAGTGTTTTTTTCGGTTGTATGTGAAATGGCCCTGAACAACACACCCTTTCATAGTAGTAATAGCGCCTGGGAGCTGGCAGCCTTTGTCCCTGCGGATCGGCCTGCGCGCTGTCTAGAGCCCCTGCCTGAGGGTGCCCGCCTTCTCTGACAGCGCAGCAGAGAAGACACTTGATCACTGGCAGCCGTCTGCGAGTCTGCTTAATTGCCCTTGCAATATTTACAGGCACATCTGTAAGTGTGCACCCTGCTCCGTATTTGCATATACAAATGAACATTTGCATGCGCAGATTAGCTAATTGTACAACCGACTGTCCATCTGCATACTTAATGACTCCATTTCCATGTAGAAATGGTGGTGGGCTTTTTCACTTGCAAATGGAGGCGGTGGGGTACGGGTGGTGTATTTTTGGAGCCGCTGGGTTAATAATGTCACTAAATTACAGATGACAGAGGCGGCTGGTGGGCCATTAGAAGCAGAAGGGCTGTTGTACCCTGATGCAGCCTGGTCTCTCCCCGGCAAACAGGAACTTTATCATCTCCACGTCTGATGCCACGGTGTACCACCTCACGGCAGACGGCACCAAACTGGAGAAGTTGTTCGTGGAGCCAAAGGACGCCGTCTACGCCGTCTCCTGCCACCCCTACCAGCCCCTCCTGGCCATCGGGAGCCTCTGTGGGATGATCAAAGTGTGGGATTATGAGGCCAAAACCTACCTCTTCAGCAGGGTCTTTGAGAAGGGCCTGGGCATCCAGAGTCTGAACTACAACCCGGAAGGTGGTTTCATTGTGTCAGCCTGCCCCAGGTTCCAAATTTGGGACACCTATCCCCTTCCCTTGGGGGCTCCCCTGCCCATGGATGTCCTCAAACTCGGAGGTTTTCCCCGACTAAGCAGTTCTACTCTGTCCTGTAAGGTCACTGTGGGTCAGAATTCCCTTGATGATGGTGGATTCGAAGCTGTCCCCATGATCAATGGCAACAGATGGCACTGCTGGGATCCATAGGGTTTCTACTGGCAGATTTTGGAAGTCGACTGCCAGGCCTTTCTTCCTATTCTGTCTCAGCCTGGAAGCCTGTCTGGTATCATAGCAACACATGAAGGCCTCCCTCCCCAACTCAACAAGAGTGGTCTCTCTCCAAATCCCAGAGGGCCCCGTCTGAGCCAGTCGTTGCTCAGCACCTAACAGGTCCTGGCACCCTGACTGACAAAAGCCCCACTTTCACTGTCTCCTGGCTTCCTATTTCAGGAGCCATCCTCGGAGCTGGCTTCACACAGGGGACAGTTTACATTCTCGACGCCATGTCCTTAGAGAATGCAACCAAGGAGCCTTTCCGATACTCCCGAAGCAGCGTGACTCACATAAGCTTCTCCCATGACTCCGAGTACATGGCCACTGCGGTAGGTGCTCCCAGCCCAGGGGCCTAGCAGCTTCCCCCAAAACCAAGAGGAGGGAGTAAGAGGGACTACCAATGGGAGGAGTGTTCTTTCTTTTTTTAAATTTATGAACTGGAGAATAGTCCCGCTTACACAGTGCTCTCACTTGACCTCACTCCAGCAGTGCTGAATTGTGTTACAAACGGGTGGTGAGTGGCAACCCTGGATCCAGCAAGGCAGTCAGCACCATGTTCCCATCAGCCCATGCTCCTCAGTGGGTCTGAGGGGTAGGGTGTAGGTTTCACTCAGCCATGTCCACGCAAGTTGTTTCTTTGTTGTTGTTGCTTTTCAAGTGGCTTCATCCTTCCCGATGCACGCACTGCCTCATCCTTTCGGTTCCAGTTGTTCCACATCCACCGATCCGGCCCCTCTCGTCTTCATCTTAAAGTCACTCTTAACCATTTGATCTCCAACGGACGCTTGAACAAACAAACAAACAAACAAACAAGCTTTGGTTTGGGGACTGGGAGCGGAAGTTGGCAGAGCAGCTCCGTTTCATCGATTCGTACACGTCTCGCTGATGATGACGTCCCATGTCCCACTCCCTTCCCGCGTTTCTCATATCCATTCCTCCTCCTTCCCTCACCCTTCTTAACTTTGTCTGGAGGTCCGTGCTGCCCTTTGGATCCCAAGCGCCGGGGGGTTCGTGGGTGTGTCTGCCTCACTCGCTGCGGAGACCTGTCTGCTGTTCGGCTCAACATTGAGCCACAAGGATGAATGTTCTTTCAGAGCAGTTAGTCGTGGCCTCTGGGCCCAGCCTAGTTCTTCTAGTCGCAGGATCGTGGATACTGTTGTTTAGAAGGCCTGTTGGCACATTGCACTGACTGTTTCCGCGTGTCTTCAGTCTCCATCTGACGGGAAGAGACCAGTAGTTGCATCTTACGTAGCCACGTGGGAGTTTTTAAGGTGTCTCTGTGAGTTGCGTGGTGCCACTTGACTCTGTTCCTCGGGCTGTGGTCCTGAGCTGCCAGGTCCAGCGACTCATCACCTCAAGGCGTTGGTTATGTCTGCGAGGTTTTCATAACGGTGCCCCCTGTGGGTTCGACCCCACCTGGAGATGCTCACAGCATATGTAAACACCCATAGAGAAATAGCCCACAGAGAGGTGTGCCCACATCCTCCCTTTCAGACCTAGTCAGCCTGCCTGTCTAGCTGGGCATCTGCTTGTGGTGAGGTTGTGTAACTAACAGTATTGACCTCCACTGAACTCTTAGGTTCCTCCCAGCGGGTCCCTAGCTAGACGGTGGTTTAAAGGAGCGTGGGATTCACGGGCAGTCTGTTACTCGGCTGGAAGGTGACCTCGGGTTGTTTTGTTCAAGGTTTAATGAGAACCTCAGGGGGGTCCTCCAATCTTAACCAGTCCAATAAGCCTTCATGATTTTGTTCTTTCTGATTTGAAGTGTGAGTTTCTGTTCCCGCAGTTTCCGCCATTCTATCAGGGCCCACACATCGTGGACATGACACTTTTAGAGGCCCAAACCACCCCTCACTCTTCCATCTGAGGACCCAGCACCTGCATCCAGGTCCCTTCAGGTGTCCTCCCCAACTCTTGGACCCCTGCCCCGTTCTTGTGCTACTTCATTTCACTAGGGCACCCTTTCTCAACCTTCCTCATGCCGCGGCCCTTAAATACAGTGCCTCATGTGGTGACCCCCCCCAACCGTAAAATAATTTTCGATGCTACTTCATCATGTCATTTTGCTACTGTGATGAATCAGGTGACCCCTGTGAAAGGGTCGTTTGACCCCCAAAGGGGTCATGACCCACAGGTTGAGAACCGCTGCACTAGGGAAAGGGAAGGGAGGGGAGGCAGAAACAATCCAGGTTCTTGGCTTTCTACAGAGAATGCACTGGTGACCAGAGGTGCCAGTGGTGACCAGTGGCACACTCCGCCCCACTTCCTTTGTACGTTGTCTCCTTTGAACCTGGGTTTGCTCATCTGCAAAATGGGCGTGCTTTTCCGACTTGTTGCAATGGACGGAAAGTTTTTATAAGCTCCTCTGAAAGCAAATAATACAGGAAACAATGGCAGGTGTTTAAGTCTGAAGGAGATCCTGGGGAGTAACTGCCTGCCCTCTGCCCCCTCAGGATGTCCGTTTCACCGTCTCGCTCTACCGGGTGGTCGTCAAGGAGGGCCTGAGGGTCTGGGAGTACTTGGCCAGACTTCGTTCGCATCGCAAAAGCATCTGCAGCCTCCTGTTTGGGGTGCACCTGGACAGCAACGAGCCCCGGCTGCTGAGCCTCGGGAGAGACCGGCTCTTGGTGAGACTTGCTGCGCTCGCTTAGACCCCCAGCACCCCCCACGGGACCTGACCATCTGGTCTCTTACGGGGGCTGGCGCTCAGCTCAAGCCCGGGTCCTAAGTGAGTGGGGAGGTTCCTGGGGCAAGGAGGTGGTGGTCCTCACAGTGTGGACCCCCGCTCCCCCAGCTGCTCCGTGTGCGTGTGGGAAGGCAGCGCCCACTGCCACTGTCATACCAGAACCACCCTGCTCCCTGATGTAAAAGCTCGTTGAGGATGTGGGGCAAAAGGGACAGGCAGGACAGTGGTTCTGGAAGACAGTGTGAGAAACACACACATCTTCATCAGCAGTCTCACAGTCCATCGTCCATCAAGTGCTCTCTCGCTCCTCCTTTCCTCCCCTTCTTCCTTCCTGTCTTCCACCCACCCACCCACCCATCCTGTCTGTCCATTCATGCCATTCCTCCATCTCATCTATCACCCTTCCATCCATCCCTGTATCCATACACCTTATCTAGCCAGCCATCCATCAATACCATGGGGTACTCCCCCCACAATGGAATTTTCCCTCCCAAAAGCTATGCACTTAAGACATTTGTCAAATCTGCGATTCCATTCTTTTTCTTTTTTTTTTTCCATTCTTGGAAATATTTTTCAAACTCATCTGTTTGGATGGCTGACAGCACTTCCCTCGTTTTTTCTTCACCTCTTCTACATAGTCAAATCGCTATCCTTTCATGTCCCTCTGCATTCGTGGAAACAAAAAGAAGTCCCATGGAGCGAAGTCAGGCGCATAGGGCAAGAGAGGCATGTTTTTTTTAGCCAAACACTGGCACACTGAGATGGCTGTGTGAACAGGTGCATTATCATGGTGGCAAAATTAGTCCTCTGTCTGCCACAATCAAGCCTTTTTCGTTCCACACTGTGATACAATCTTTTCAGAACCTTTAAATAGAGAGCTTGTTTAGCAGTCTGACCTGGTAGAACAAACTCAAAATAAGTAGACATTTCACCTTTTTTGAAACGAGAAAACCTCGTACACTTGAGTTTTTCCCATAGTGCTGTCCTTGTAAGCTGTGTTCAACATCACAACACTTTCTGTGGCATTTTTCCCGAGCAGGAAACAAAATTTCACAGCTATCATAAAATACAAGGTTGAAGTGAAACTGCTTTACGAAAAATTCACTGTGAGCAGAGAGAACCTTCCCAGGTGACGTCACTGGATGCACTAACTCAGAGCGAGTTGCTCAATGCTTGCCTAGCAGGAAAAATGCATACTATGAAAGCTCTACTCTGCCCAGCACAATTCTGGTTCTGGGGTGGTACCCCTCATAAACCTTATCAATAAATTCATCCACCACCTATCTTAGCTATCCATCCATTCATCTACCTATCTTACCTAATGGCCCATTTATGCATCCTTCCATCTTTTCTACCCATCTTACACACGTATCCATCCACTCTCCCTTTCTTTCATCCACCCAGTTTAACATCTGTCCATCCACCCACCCATCTATGCACATGTCCAACTGTCCTTCCTTCCATCCATTCGTTCTAGTGTGACCATTCAAACATCCCTGTGATGCTTTGTGTAGCCATCAGTGCTGAGAGAAGGGTTCCCAAGCAAGTGGCCCATGTCTCAGTCAAACAAGCTCTGAGTTCAGGGTCCAGAGTCAGTTGGGCCTAAATGGGGCATCTTGCTCTAACAGCCTGGGGCGATGTGACAGGAAAGATCATGCAGGTCTTCTCAAGGCTCCTCTGCAGGGAGTCATGAGGGAAGTGGTGAGCTGCCTCAGCCAGCTCCCAGTGAGTGAGCGAGCGAGCCCCCAGCAGGGGAGCCCCGGCAAGGGTGCTTGGTTGGCCTGGCATGTATTTCACTCCGCTTCCTTCTGGCCCCTCCACAGATCGAGTACAATCTCCCCAAGACCTACAAAGACCACCTGGAAGTCCTGGACATTCACCGCACTGACCAGGGCAGCCACCCCACCTGTATGGTCTGGTACCCGCCGCTCACCAAGGAGCTCTTCCTGCTGATCTGCAACAGCAGCTACAAAGTGATGCTCTTCAACTCCACCACGAAAATGTGCCGGTGAGCCACTCCAGCCGGCCTCTGCACTTGCCGAGGCCCAGATCCTGGCAATAGTGTCCCCCACCACCACTCGGCTGGAAGCCCCACAGGCAGGATGCAGCCCTGGGCCCTGGCTCCCGAGCTGGCACTGTCCCAGAGCCCAGGGGCTGGCACTTGCAGGACCCTTGTCCTCGAGTGCTCCCAAGAACTCATCTGTCCCAGGAGTGGGCGGAAAGACAGATGTTTTCACCCGAGGACTACCCATTGTTTGAGGTTTCTCTTTGGCGGCTCTCAAAGGCCGTTTCATTGGCTCATTCACTAAATATTTACCATTAGCCCGCATGGCAGCCAAGTGCTGTCCCAGATGCTGGAGACAGGGATGAGGACACAGCAGTGTGTCACCTGCTCACGGTGGGGCCGACATCTCGGGAGCCAGCATGCAGTAGATGCATGAACAGTGGGTGTGTGGTCACTGGCCTCTGTGACACAATGGGTCAGGATGACAGGGCAGGGAGTCCCTGGGCAGAGGGATGCTTATTTTTATTTTCGTATTTTATACCATCCACTGTCTCCCTTCACCCACGTTTCTGTTGCCCTGGGGGGGTGAGGGGGGAATGTTGTGTTTAGTTGGTGCTATACTGCACCCCGGCTGGCTCATCCCTGCCTTGTGACCCTTCTGTGAGGGGGTGTCCAACTGTGTACAGATGGGGTTTGGGTCTCCATTCTGAACCCCTCATTTGCTTCAAAATGGCTGGTTGTTTTGGGGTCTTCTGATGCTTGTTACTTGATCCCGTTGACACCTCGTGATCACACAGGCTGGTGTGCTTCTTCCATATGGGCTTTGTTGCTTCCCTGCTAGAGGGCTGCTTGTTTAACTTCAAGGCCTTAAAACCTCAGATGCTATATCTTGTAATAGCCAGCACAGTCAGCTTTCTTCACCACATTTGCACCCAGTTTGTCTTCAGCGATGGTGTCAGGAAGGGGAGCATCACAAAATGCTGGTTATTAGAACAAAGTGTTCTTGTGTTGAGGGAGTACTTGAGTAGAGGCCCAATGTCCATCTGCTACCTTAATACTTAGCCTATAAATATATGTACATAGGGTGACCGGACACTGGGAGCCAAGGTGCAAGGCAGACTCAGGCCTTGGTCAGAGAGGAAGATGGCTTAGCAGGTTGGGCACGGTGGGGAGGCCAACAGGGTTTGCTGATGAGGGGTAGTCAGAGAATGGAGGGACCTTGGCTGAGGAGGAGCACCAGGTGGAGATGGATTTGAGAGGGACCATCTCCGAGTCATCATGTTTGGCAAAGGGGGAGGGCAGCGAAAAAGAGGAAGGCCTTCCAGTTGGATGGATGGACACCGTGGCTGCAACAGTGGGCTCAAGCCTAGAGGGGCAGTTTTGAGGACAGCGCAGGACCGGGCAGTGTTTCCTTCTGTTGTGCCCAAGGGTTGGAACTGACTCGATGGCCCTTGACAGCCACAGTGTCCCCGAGCCAGAATGTGGACAAGTTAGGCTGATGTGGTGCCTGGGGCTCTGGGGGAGGCTGGGCCAAGGTCCAGAGTGGGTAGCTGTGGACAACCAAGATAGGAGAGGATTCCAGAGGGGAAGGTGGGGAGCAGGGAGGTTGAAGGACCAAGCCAGGCAGCAGCTCCTCTGTTCTGAAATCATCCCTCGGCTGAGTCTGGCCTCTGTACGCATGGCCTGGGTCTCCGGAGGTTGCTCCTCACGATTCCTAGTGGCATCCCTGCTCCAAGTGCCCTAGCTCATTATCCCATTTCGCCACCACCAGAGGACCAAGCAGAGAGCCAGGCCCGAGGCAGGACTCAGGCCAGCTCTGTCCAACTCTGGGCAGCCTTGGGCCCGCCTGCAGCCCTGGCTCTTGGATCCACACTGGCCCTGAGCTTTTGTCAGTGCCTCTTGAGCATGGTGGAGGGAGAGGAGGCAGATGCTAGCGTTGACTCTGGCTCGTAGAAGAAAGAGGGACCTGGCCAGCAGTGGCTGGCTGGTACTCCGGGAAGGTCCTTCTCTGAAGTGCTTTCTCCCTCTCGCTGCCACTGAGTGGACGCTGACTCACAGTGACCCTGTAGGACAGGGTAGAACTGCCCCTGTGGGTTTCCGAGATTGTAACTCTTGATGGGACTAGAAAGCCTCATCTTTCTCCACCAGACAAGCTAGGTCTTCCAAGGAGGGGCTCA